TTACTCTCTTTCCCTCCCTCCTCTCTCTTCTCTCTCTCTCTCTCTCTCTCTCTCTATTTCGCCTCTCCCCTCCTCTCACATCTCTCTCTGCTTTCTCTCGTTCTCTCAAACACACGCCTAATTTGAAGCGAAACGCCATTCTTAGTGGACCTAGACCACTTTGCTCTATCTCCATTAAATGGCTTACATCTCTACAGCCCGTATTTTTGCACTCAGTCGAAGCACAGTTAACGATGCCTGATGATTTCCTCCGTCCCAAAGTACGACCATTCATTTTTCCCGCCTTTCCTCCTAAACCCGGCCTCCCAGACCCTGTCTCCCAGATCCCGCCTCCCAGATCCTTCCTCCCAGATACGGCCCCCTTTGACATTCGGCATGTTTTGGCTTCTATCCTCTGTCAGTCAGCCCGTGCTTCCTCCGTCCCCTGATCCTAGACTCGATATCGTAACCCTACAGACATGGTAACATAAGTTTTGTGTGCGTGATGGAAGTCAGTATTCACATATAGATCAGGAGTAGATAATAGGGAATCCCTATTATCTACTCCCGATATAGATGCATCCATGCTTCCCTGGTCGCGTTCATCGATGCGTTGTCAACGCAACCTCCACAACTCCGCATCTCGATCTGCCGCAGAATCCGATGATGGATACCCTTTGAATAAATGAATAAATAAATGCGCACATAAAATAACAAATAAAATAGCAAACGAACCCGAAAACATGAAGACGCACGAAAATATCTCGACTGTATAATTGCCGTTTACATGCTACGTAATGTTAATACATATAGATATACATATACATATACATATACATATACATATACATATACATATACATATACATATACATATACATATACATATACATATACATATACATAATATGTATATGTATATGTATATGTATATGTATATGTATATGTATATGTATATGTATATGTATATGTATATGTATATGTAACATATACATATACATATACATATATTATATACATATACATATACATCAGGGGTTAATAATGACAAATTTATTTTTATTAACCCCTGATATACATATATATACATATACTGTATATATAAATTATATATATATATATATATTTGCACAGCTAAAGGGGAAGCGCGAAAGTGTTTAAGGAGCAATACTAAATTTCAATGTTACTTGTCAATGACCCGCTAAAGTGTTGTGTTATTGTAAGGCATTACTGGCCGTAATAAGCACCGCAAAAACTACAATCAACGAACTTTTGTTCAGTCGATGATCGCATGTAAGGTATCATTGGATAATTACTAAAGATTCCGTATAAATTGTGAATGAATTTATGAGTTGCTATACTAATTTCTGAATTCATGCATTTTGGATCGGCCACACTGCCTATAATAATATCAAATTATTGTAAAAATATTACTGCAGCTTTTTGTCCGATTTAAATCGTGAAAGAATGTTAGCGTAGTCTAATTTCATTGCAAATTAGACGATGGAAAATTATCAGAAAAGATATGAAACTATCAAATATCTGCGTGTTAAATCATTGAAGCGTATCGTATTTAATAATTGGTGTATTAATCATACGCGCGTGTCTCGTGTACGCTTAGTGAAATATATCGTTAATAATTATAATTTAAGGTAATATAACTGGTGTACAAACATTAAGAACACTACCATAGTATGTTTCGTAACCAAATATTTCAAATAGTTATCATGGTTATATAGCAGACAGTCTGATGTCTACATGTGCCTGGCATAGCGACAGTTACCGCACGCATATACAATAAGATAAATTAATGTGATAACGTTCGTTGTGTTTTGATCGTCGCTTCATAAAATCTAATTGGTTTTATGTCTCCGGCTATGAACATATAGATCGATAAAACACAGAATGAACACTATTTTTATTTTTATTTCTAATATCTGACTTAGCTTCAGCGTTCATAGAACGGTTCGTAATTATGCATTTTCTGGCGCTATGATATAGACGTCAGTTCGCGATGATGAATCATGTTTCATAACGAAATTAATGGACACGCAACCCCAAAACTAATCGGTAGCTATCTTGAATGCTCGGCTGATTTTAGATAATCAACGTCCGCCGGCGCCTTTGGTGATCCATCACTGAAGTTTGACAGCTAGTACCGAGCTGCTTGCGTCGAGACGTCCCCGTTGCCAGTGCCAACGTCTCCATAGGTTTTCGGATTATACACCGAGCCCGCCCTAATTACACGAGGCGAGCTTTCGGAATTAACTCTGACCGTCCTCGGCGACGAATTAGAATTCTTTAGGTAAATTTCGTTTGTAATTACCTTTCTAAACGTAATCGGTTCGCTCTGCCTTTCCTCGTGGAGTGTATTGCCCGGGAATTCCGCTTACCATGTGCGAAAGTAGGCGGAGAACATTTCCCACGGCGCAGGCGAACGGATAAAGATGTTCAGCTGTGGATAAGACTCAGAACGTCGGTAGCGTTTTGTCCCTATTCGAGATCTCTCATCGCAGGTATACCTCCAATACGTATTCTATAGTCAGTACACGTTACAGTGAAATTCCCTATCGTGATTTGTTGAGCATAAATTTCATCCGGTATATGTTCCCATTAAATCTGGATTGCCATCATGCTTGCCGAGAGTAGTGTGTGCCGATAATCGCTAGTCTTTCTACATTGAGTACTGCCGTCACGCATACCCTAACAAACGCTGACCATAAGAAGAGTCCTTGATGAAGATTCTTTCACCGTCTGATTAAAGGGTTGATGCAATTTAATCACCTTCCGCATTATAGTCCACATAGGCGTAAAGTGTATGTATGTGTGTGTGAGAGAGAGATTCAGGTGCTATGTCTAGACATTTTGTGCATCATGTCATCATGCACACCGTAACAAGAGAGCTGACCAGATGGCCATCACCTGATGAACTTTATTTCACCGTCTGATTAAAGGGCTGCTGCGACTCAATCACCTTCCGCCCTAGTCCAGCCCGTATATTCAAAATCTACTAAATGAGTACGTCGGTTGAGCTTCTATACGTCTAGACATTTTTCCTTTTTGAGGGGAGAGAATTTACGATTTCACTGAATCGTAAAATGCGCTAGATTTATATGATGCTGTACAATTATTATAATATAAATTTTCGGTGTCATATAATGGCGACATTTCTATTATGTCTACGCGAGGTTCCAGACAAATAGATAGGACTTGTAATAGCAACGCTTACGGTATTCCAAAGTAACAATGTCGTGGGAGTTTGCTTTACATAATACCCAATAGAGTTTATGATATAGTGTAGTATAGAATTGGTTTTAAAGTTTTAAAACAAATTGCGTTTGAGACAAGTTTTCTGCTCATGCAAGGTAGGCCTATACATCGTCAACATCGTGCATTACGGGCGAAAATTATTTATGGCGAAGACTGATTATCAACTAACTACAAGATATAACATGGCGTTTCGTCACGCAACGGATTAAAAACTTTTCGCTTTGCACATCGACAACGCCTTTACCAGGTGTTGAAATTATAGGAAGAAAGAGTTACATGCATTTTTATGGTGTTCGCGTTTTTACGCGTCTGGCAGGATCATCGAACGCATAAGCACTAGAAGGTTTATTAAGGCTCTGCAATAATAGCTTACGAGGGTGGGTTTTTGGCCGCACTGCTTATTCAGATTTCGACACTTTCTTATTTGTCATAAAATGACCAACTGTAGTCGCTCGAATATGAATAAATTTAGCCGACACAGAACCGCCAAGCTAGCTAGCCTGATTGATATAGCGATACGACGCGTGAGTGCCCGTAATACCTGTCTATTCAAGGCTCGCAGTGTACAATAATGCGTCGATGTGTGAGAGTGTTAGCGTGAGTGCGTGTGCGTGCGTACTCACGTGCGCGCGTGTGTAAGAGAGAGTGAGACAAGGTGTGTGTGTGTGTGTGTGTGTGTGTGTGTGTGTGTGTGTGTGTGTGTGTGTGTGTGTGT